ATATATGTATGTATATATATGTGTATATATATATGTATATATAAAAAGCTTGGTATATAAGGGTAAAGCACTAGTCATTGGACACTGTAGCCACAGCGGTGCAAGTTACTGTAGTGCATGTAACCCTTAATGAGCGAACCTTTAAAATGCATAGTGTGGTGGTAAAGCTGAGACTATATGCCCCGAAAGTGAAATGTAGCTTTTGTTTTAAGTTGAGGGGGCTTTTTGATTAATTTTTAGTTATTTTTCCATTAGATGACTGGCCTGAGAGGGAAATGACAAACAATTCCTCTAACCACTTAGAAGAGCCCAATTGTAATGAGGTGACCAACCTGAAGGTGTGCATTGAATTAACAGGGCTCCATCCCAAAAAGCAGCGTCACCTGCAGCATCTTAGGGAACTATGGGAGCAGCAGGTGTCACCAGAGAGATCCCCGTCCGGCAAGTTGGGCCGGCAAAGCAGGAAAGATTTAGCTGAGGCTGTTCAGCCAGAGGCCACTGCAAAGGTCAAAGACTTCACAGAAGAAAGGCACACCAAGAAAAGGTCAGAGGCCAAAAGCAATAGAAGTTGGTCTGAAGAGTCCCTCAAAACAAGTGACAATGAACAAGGTATGCAGAGACTACTAGGGAAACCAGCTGGCTTTAGCATTTACAGTGACGCATGCTGCCACCGATGTTAAGGAATTGTCGAGAGCTTTTTTTTTTTTCTTTAAATTATATATGATTTCTGTAGATGTCCATTTGTATAAGGACTGACACCTCCTCTTTAAGAATTGCACTGTAGCTAATATTTGGCAGACAAGAAAACGTGTTTGTGTATGTATGTATAACTCTGTGTTTGTGTGTGTGTGTGTGTGTTTTGGCTTTAAATACTCTTTCATAGATAATGTGAAGATGAAGTTTATGTCTCTAGAGGAGAGCTGGGAGGGGGGGCATACAATGCGGGCATGCTTCTGGGTGAGCGAGGGAGCAAGCAGGCGCTAGTGGGTGTAAGAGCGTTTAACCACATGTAGGATTTGAGGAGCTGTGACCCTCTGAAGCAGCATCAGCACAGCTAGCAGCTCTTGATCTCGGGAATCCAACACCTCCAGCACCCTTAGCACTGCTGGGTTTCCCTGCCTTTCCCAGGGCATATGCACAAGAGCAAAGCTCATCCTCCTCCTGAAGAGAATGCCTTGCTGTTCATCCTGTGCATGTCCTGTAATCCCCTGTGACCCCACTCCCCAGCCCCTTGGCAGAGATCTTTCCCAGCAGCTCTCTCCTGAGGGGTTGTTTCCTCAAAGCATGTCAGCTTTCCCTGACTTATTTCTGGCTGCTTCTTTCCCCCTCAGTCTGCTTCCTTCTTTTTCCCATCCTCTCCCCCTTTTCTGCCCATTTCCTATTTTGGGGGAGAGCCCGTGGAGGTGATCTGCTAAATTTCCCTTTCCGACAGACAGGTTACTCTCCTGTCCCCACTGTCCTCAGCCCCCAGGTGCGTTGTCTGCTCTGCTACTTTTCCCCTTCCCTGTGACGTTTGCTGATGGAGCTTGGTTGGAGGACTGGTTACTTTCCTTTTTGTCCTTCTCCTCCTCTTACCCCTTCGGGTCCTCTGCCTGCTTTTGACAAAAGGTTGTTTCTGGGAGAGGGAGCTCCCAGTTGGACATTGGGGCTCCTTTCTCCTTCACAGACCTGGGAGCTTCATCAGACTGATAGAGATTCACCTGCCAGCTGGCCTAACCTGTAGTTTAGCTGAGATGCCCTTGAAAGGGAGAAGCATGAGGAGAGTGGATCCTCTTGTCCCAATCCATGGTAAGGAACGGGTCCAGATCATCCTGTACCAGTGGGAATTTTCCTGGGTAGCATCTCTGAAATGGTTACAGGCAGAAGTGTTGGCTTTCCTTCTGTCCTAAAGCTCCTCACCCATCTTTCCCCTTGGTAGGATTATCTGAGGGCAGAACATGCCAAACTTTGATGCTTATTGATGGGGAAGGTTCTCCAAAAGGATTCCTGGAGCAGGAGATCAAAACTTAGTTTAAAAGGAGCTTTGACTCTTACTCCCTCACTTTATGTGCTGCCTTGGTGAGCATGGTATTGGCTCAAACATCCCTGCCCATCACCTGCTCCCCTTTGTACTTTCAGAAAGAGATACCTTGTAGAGATTAAACGAGGGTCACTAACAAGAAGCTGCATTGTGTAAGGATGCTCTAACTTTCCCCTGCAAAGCCTCCTGTGGCAGTGCCAAGCTTCTCTAACATATGACCTCGGGAAAGAAAAAAAGGTGGCTCCCAATTTATGCGTCATTCCCAAAGGCATTCAGATTTAGTCTCCCCATGGTTATGAAAAACCTCTTGGTTTAGGAAGCTGCTATAAAACCCATAAACCTGGATAAATTATGCCTTGCCATTCATTGTGCAGAGGCACTGGAGATCCTTCAGATCACTTTGCTGCTGCTTCTCCAGCCCCATTGAAGTGTAAACCTTTGAATCTCCTTTTTCTTAGTTCACTAGGATGAGGACATTTTTCCCCATTGTGTGACAGAGCATCCTCTGCATGACAGTCGTGTGGGGATAGAGACTTCCAACTTGTCTTTCTTGCCCAGGACTAGTCCTCAAACTTCTCCTAAACAAGCAGATACTGTGAATATGAGAATATACCCTGTCACTTGCAGCTTTCTTTAGCTCTGGGGCTGGGGAGAGCTGTTCCTGGTGCCAGCACTGCCTGCGAATGTGTCAGTCTCTGAAAGCTGGTTGTATCCCAAGAAGCAGGCTCTAACAGGGCATTGAGGTCTGCCCCTGCGCCCGCAAAGCCTTAGTCTAACAGCAGGATGACTTGCTGCCTGTGCCTGCAAATCTCCGGATAGACGGAGGGTGCTGACGTCTGGGCTTGTTGCTCCATCTGTGTTCAATCTGGGATTTTAGTGTGGGAGGAGTCACGCTTTGCGTTGGAAGCTGCCACCAGGCTGTCACCGCTCTATCCGCTGGTCAGTGCCTTCTGGCTGGGTGACCAAGCCGTCAGTGGCTGCTGGAAATGTTCCTCTGGTGACTCTTCTGGCTGTCACCTCCTTGCGGGTCAGAACCATGAGAGCCAGGATGTGGCTTCCCTGAAATAATATCAGGGCCCTACCTCATCCCGCTTGCGAGGTGATGACGCCTGTTGCTGGCTCTCCAGGATACAGCAGGTCCATGAGTGTGGGGATGCCTGCAGCCTCAGGGTGTCGTGCCACTTGCTTGGACCCCTGGCCAAGGTGGGAGCCACAGTCTCTGCTGGGGTCCCAGCTGAGCAATAACCTCCCTGTGCTGCTGGTGGTGCGGTAGCCAGCTCTTCCATCAGTCCCCCAGGGAGCCACAGCTGCTCACCCGCCATGAGGAGAAAACCTGGGCGGCAGGGAAACAAAAGCCCTGAGGACGGGAGCCGGGAGGATCTCGCCCACTGGGAAAGCCACTGCCTGCCCTCGGAGCCGCCTTGGGTTGCAGGCAGGCTGTTGGCTTTGCATACAGGTGGAGGCAGCTGCTGGGGTGGGAGCTGAACAAGCGAGCGTTCAGGTGACGCGGCAGCAGCTGTTTTTGCGTGTGGACCTTTCTGCAGCCTGGTCCTGCGGGAGGGGAGGCAGGTCCTGCTCTGAGTCAGTGTCGCCACAACCCACATCAGTCAGAGGCCTCAGTTTTTTGGGGTTTTTGGTTTTGGTTTTTTCTTTCTTTCTTTCTTTCTTTTTATTTTTGTGTTTTTTTTTCCTGGATATTTGGGGATATTCCTGCCCACTCTTGTTTTTCTTCTCCTTTCACGTGTGTAGTGGTCAGAAAGATGGGATGGGATTCCAGAATTAACCGCTTGCCTTTTTTCTGCCTGTGTGCCTTGCATTTCCCAGGCTGATGCTTGGCTTTTTCTGGATAGTGCTGGCCTCTTGCAATGTTATTGATCCTGAAGCTCCTGGGCATAGCGTTGCTACTCTCCGTCCCTTGACTGCGACGCATGTTTAGCCTGGTGCCTGCTGTCACCGCTGTGGAGGGTCAAAGCGGAGCACAGAGTTTACGTGGAGCTTGCAGGCAGGAGTACACATTTTTTGGTGGTGATTAAACTTCTCCTTTTATTGCCTCGGCATCCCTGCATGGGAAAGCCTGCAGTTCTTTGAGATAGGCTTTTCTTCCTGTGTTTTATTTTCCTTCATCCTTTCAATATTTCTGTTGTCCAGACCTGTGGGGTTTTTTTTCTTTCTATTCTTGTTTTTCTATGTGCAGCAGTTGCTTACTTCCCTTTCCATTTTCGCAATTTTTTTAGTAAGTGATTAAGGAGATAATGATGATACTTCTGTACTGGAATCGGGCTTTTCACATGCTACTCCAATTAGGTTAGTTGGGACCAGGAGAATTAAACACTCTGTACTTCATGCTGTCTGCAGAGTTGGAAAGACAGCTTTGCATCCGTAGGCCCAGCCTACGACTAGGCGCCTTCCTTCAGGATTGCAAAGCCTGAAAAACCTACTGGATTTTTGCTGAACAATCTGCACATCGTGTGTCCCGTAAATTCCCTGACATCTGCTTGGCAAGCCGTGGTATGCATCTTTTTCTAGAAAGTGGCTTGAAAGAACTGAGGGATTTCTGTTTTCATCTTTAATCTAGAAAGCCTTCTGCAAGTTGCTTTCACAGATCTATTTAAAGGAAGACAAAAGTGTGAAGCTGCCCACTGAGAGGATTCTAGATTTTTTTTTCTTTTTTTCTGGCTCTGGATCGAGTCTCTTTAAATAAAGGTCTCTCTTCTCTGAGCAGCTGCCTTATTTGCTCCTGCCATCTCTTCTGTTCTGAAAGTAGCATCACTTCAGAGACTTCTCGGAGCAGAGGAGCCTCTTTCAAGTGCTCAGGGTTTTTTTCGCACCTTCCCTCAGTGGTGTGGTATTGTTTGGCTGAAGTGTCCCATCTTTTCCAGCAACCTTTAATTCATTTTTCTGCAGAGGAGTTGGTTCTGAGGTCACCTCAATTCTCTTCCCAAGGGAAATTCAGACTATAAAAAGTCAACTTTCCTGTCCTTGTTTTGTTGTAAACCTGCTTGCACTCTGAAAAAAAAAAAAAGTAACCATGCTTTTTGCATGTGGCCCAGATTGTGGGATTCAACTTGTTGGAGCTAACCCGCAGAGAAAACCCAGCCTTGCCGGTGTCCTGCCGTGGGCATCACAGCACTGGCCTTAGATCCCTGATGTCCCAAGGCTTCCTGGTCTCACAGAGAGACTCGCTTCTGGTCAGAGTCCTCGGGGAAAATACAGCTGACTGCTTTTCTTGCAAAGTGCCTGCGCTTCTTGATAGAGGCTTTGCACAGGGCTTCTGTAGGGACGGCTCCTTGAGCAGCCTTTCCTCTCTGGTTTGCTTTTCTAGTAAAAATGCTACCAACTGCCATCTTAGGACTAACCTCAACATTCTCCTCATGCTGTCCCGTTCAGCCCTCATCTGCACTCCTGCTTTCCCCTCCTCCCCTGCCATCTCTCTCTCTGCCCTGCCACTGCACCTCGCCCACGGCGGACAAGCCCAGCTGGGCCCAGGCTGCTGGAGGAGTTGGTTCCCCTTCAGATAAAGCAGTTCCAGGTAAGGAGGCGAGTTTTTCCCCCAGCCAGATGGTGCAGCGGCAGCTTTCCGCTCTGCCCACGGTGGCTGGGCTGCGGCAGCATGGCGCGGCACCCGATGGCCTTCGCGGTGCCCCGGCACCCGGCGAGGGGCATTGCGTTTAGTGATTTTTATCAGAGCGTTATAACTGTTAATGTAAATGTTAACTGGCAAGATGCTGTTTGCGATTTGAATGTGGGACGCTTAAAATATTAATGATTTCAAAATGTAATTGGTAGATCTCTTAAGCAGTCGAGGAGCTTGTGTTAAGTGCTAGCGATGCGTTTTCCTTTTAACACACCATGCAACGTGTAATGCCTTTCCTTCCCCTTTAGGCTTGCCCGTATTCCCAGTGTCTCCGCACATGAAGAGCCTTTCATCCACCAATGCAAACAGCAAAAGGCAGGCTCAGCCAAGCTGTACTCCAGCCTCGAGGTTGGCTGCCAAACAGCAGAAAATTAAAGAAAGCCGGAAGACAGATGGGCTGTACACAGACGAAGAGGAGGATTTCCAACATGCATCTCTGCTGCAGAAATACAGCGAGTGCGAGAAGCCATCAGGGAAACGTCAGTGTAAAACAAAACACTTGGCACTGCAGGAGAGGAGAAGGAGGTCATCTCTGACAGGGGATGACACCACAGATATCGAAAATGCTGAAGATAAGGTATCTTTATTCAGACTTAATTGTCCACCAGCCTCTCAGAAGGCAGAGCCAGCCTGCTTGAAACTAATGCGCTGTCATGCATGCAGGGTAGCGGGGGTTGCATTCAGATTTGTCCAAGGATGCTTTGCACATTTTGTATTTGCTGTTCTTAACTTGCACATTTTGTATTTGCTGTTCTTAACGCAAAGGCACTATTGCAAGGGTGAGGAGTCTTGCACTTAAAAGCTGTAGCAGGTCTTTGTTGAAAAATTAAATATGGGTAGAAAAGTGTGATGTTTTGTTGGCAAAATACAATCCCATCGCTGTATTGTAAAATTGAGGGTAAAAAAACCTCCACAATAATGGTTTTGACAGGTCATGGTAGCAAGGAAAGTCAGGAAGCGACCGGAGCCTACTTCAGACTGCGACTCCTCGCCAGCCAAGCCATACGAGCAGAAGCCATATGATCGCCTGCAGCAGATTCCCTCGTTGCTACCCGTCTCGCAGCCTGCACAGCTGCCGATTGCAAGCCCCCCTCAGGAGACCACCCCGAGCCGGCCCATGCCACCTGAAGCGCGGAGGCTTATTGTCAATAAGAACGCGGGGGAAACGCTGCTGCAGCGGGCGGCGCGCCTGGGGTACGAGGTAAGGGTCTCTTACCACCCAGCATGAGGTTCAAACCCTCTTTCCATTTTTATAGGTGGAAATCTTGCAAAGCAGGAACTTTGAGTTTGGTTGTTGAAATTTGCGGGCCCCCCCGACCTGCTGCATTCCCTTCCCCTGCTGTGTTCTCTTCCCCAGCATGCTGAATCTGGGGGCAGATCACTGCGGGAACGGGTCCCCACAGCTGGCGGGGATACAGGGTAAGCAGCATCCTGTGTGAACGAGCAAAGGGTAAAGTTTTATTGGTAACCCTCGCTTCTGTTTAAATATAAGCCATCTGCAAACTGAGTGAATGTATTTTTTTTTTTTTAAAGTAGTCTTTATGGTGATCTTTAATGAGCTGTACGATTTTTGCTTTTGTTATTTGTGAAGAACGTGTAGTTTAGGCAGAAGGGTTTTATTTTTTGTTCTTTTCTCCAAGGAGTATCTGGTATGTGACACAGGATGTAGCGCTTGGAGTGTCCTCTTGCATGATCAGATGCATCGTAGGAGCGCTCTGCATGCTTTATGCTCAGAGTCTGGAGCTGCTTGGCATAGCTGGAACAATGTTGTCTAATGAAATGGCCCCCTGTTGCTACAAAAATCAGAAACCGATGAATCCCCTAGCTCCGGTGTTTTGAAGCACGCTTTTATTGGGGAAATATGGGCATACAGGTATGAGTGTCATTGTTGCTCAACTTCAGATCTTGCAAAGAGGTTTTTCATTGCAGGGAGCGATTGCTGCCTTCAGCGCGGCTGCAGGGTTCGCTTTGGCAGTGAGCGGATGGCTTGGACCTCAGAACTGGGCTTGAGCCCCTTGCTGGAAGGTGGCATCAGCCTGGGGCCTGCCCAGCCTCAGGGCTTTGTTGAAACCTTGAAATGCCCTTTGTACGGCTGCAGAGCTTTGTGTGGAGAGAGGCTTTCTCCAGCTCTGGAAGGCAGGGTTTGTTGGAGAGGTTTTGTTTACCCTAGACAAAGGCTTCTCCTAACCCAGGGCACTTCAGCTCTAGCTAGGAGGAGGAGAAGTGGTTGTTACAACGTTGCTATGGTAATCTCCATAATTTAAAGGATGTAATTTCCTATGGACCTATATTTTCCTATGGATCCAAAATTAAAATGTGCTGTAGCATGTGCTCCAAGGTATCGGAGCGATTTTTCTTCCTGTGCAGTGTCTGTCGGTACCGCTTGAGTGTAGCAGGTTGCCGTGGGATGCTTGTGCACTTTGCTTTCTGTGCCCAGCATGCTCCGCTGAGCACAGCTCAATGGGAGCAGCTCCGAAACTTAGCGATGGGCTGAGGGCTCTCTGTTTGCTTTGCTGATAGTGGGAGCTCTCTGGAGCATTGGCCATTAGTGGGCTGGTTGCAGAAAGCTGGGGATGCCCAGGCTCGCCAAGGTGGGGGTCCTGGGGTGCTGGGTTAGCCTTTTGTGCTCACCATGCTTTCCCATCATCAGCTGATTGGGGATTTGTATTTTCTGATTCACCCAAAAGTTCAAGTGAACACCACATTTTTAATAGGCTTAAATATTCCTACAGTTTGACTTGACCGTTTGGGCAGCGTTGACAGTACAGCACTGGGTCCAGTTGTTGGCAGAGCGCAGGGCAGGCGAGCTGAGTGGGGCAGAAGTGGAGAGCCTGGTCCCTGTGCCTGAGCTGCTGCAGGGATCTGGCGTTGTCTGTATCTTTCAAAGCTTGGAGTGGTGGGTGGCTGCGCTGCCCTGTAGGCGTTTCATTTGGCCTCTGGTGAGCTGTGATAGTTTGGTCAGCCATGGAAGCTCTGTAGCTGTGGTGTTTTTCTTGCTAGTTACCAGACTACCGCAGTTAGTAGAAAGCTGAATTTCCTCTCTCTCCAGAAAAAAATAGAATGGCCAAGATGTTACAAATTCCTCTGTTTAAAAAAAAAAATAATAATCTTGATGGGTCAAGGTAATTTGCTGGTCTGTGACCTGTGGCAGCTGCACACATCTGTTTTCTGCTGTCCCTGTTAGCGGGGCAGCAACCTCTGGTGGCTGCAGGGTGATGATGGGGGGCTGATGCTGAAGTGGGAGTGCTGGAAACTCACAGGCACGTGGGGGCTTCTCATAGCTGCTGGGATGGCAGCAAGCAGCCTCATAGCCCCTCGTCAGCCCCATCACAGAGGAGGCAAATTAATCTGTGCCATTGAGGCTATGGCTTGCAAAGGGATGCCGAGTGCTGGTGCTGGAATCAGAGCTGGAAGTGGCTGGCACCACAGGCCAGCGCTGAGCAGTGACAGCAAAAGGGATGTTGTTATGGGGCAGAGCAGCACCAACAGCTCTGCCCTGAGACCGGGTGAGCTGATGCCTGCCCTTGGCAGCCTGCCTGCCTTTGCAGCAGGGATGCCCGGCGGCCGTGCAGAGATCTGACCTCAAACCCAGAGGCAGCGCTGGCACCTTTGGCACGCGAAGATGCTGGTGATCTGTATGTTTCACTCCTGGACCCATGGGGAGCCCAAATGCTGCTAACTTGGGTGCCTCTGCCCCACTCTCAGTTGCACAGTATGGATGTGCCCCAGATAGTTGCGGGAAGGAGGACGTGAGCATTTATGGTTTTGCGTGTAAAAGCTGATGTGCGAGTGAAATGTCGAAGGACAAATGTGGCTTGTGTCTGGTCAGATAAATTGCAGGGCTGCAGCCAACAAGGCTGCTTAAAGACAGTGTGGCAAATGGTCTTTGACTCTGGAAATCCATACAATCTGAGCAAAACCCCTCTGAAGCTAGTGAGAAGCTTTGCCTTTCCTTCTCTAGGCTTCTGCACCAGGCCTTGCTCCATCAGGATGTTTGCAACCCGTCCTAGGGTATGGGCACTCACGAATCCATTCTGTTTCCCCCATTTGAAACAAATGACTTGAGATAATAGTGGTCTTAAAACTGTAATTTACTTTTTGTCAAGGGAGAATTATAGGGAGCGTAAAGTCTTTTTGGGGAAAAAAATTACAAAAGGCTTGCGTAATGAATTTGATGGGAGAGGAAGCACTGGCTGTCTTTGTGCTGCTTGTTGCTTTTTGATGTGTGTCTGGACTTGGAAAGTTCTCTGGTGAATTTGGGATTAAATCCTGCCTGGGAATGCAGGGAAATTAGAGGAATGTGTGGTGTGTGGGTAGGGGAAAAGATGGTGTTTGTTTCCATGGGGTTTGAACACTCATGAAGACAGGGCTTACGCAGGCAGGGGGAGAGGGTTTGCCCTGAGGATGCCTCGCATGAGGTTCCATCCCTGGGTCCCTAGTGGCACCACTGCAGGAGCTCCTGATCATTGTCCTGCTGTTGCACAGCTACCTTGGGGCTCCTGTGCCCTGCCAGGGGACAGCGTCACTTCTGAGGTTTGGCACAGTGCTGCAGGGAAGCGTTATGGCTAACGTTTTAATGCCTTCCGCAAGGGCTGTGTTTTGAGGTTGGGTGGAATGGAATAGTGCCTCTTGGCGGCAGTGTGGGCTGCCAGGGCAGCAGGGCATGTGCAGGGCATGGGGGATGTGCAGGAGGATGCTGACCCGTTCCCTTGGAAAAGGGGCAGGAGCTGCTGCAGAGCACGGGAGAGACTAAAGCAAAGGGCACCTCTTTTTACACGAGGCTGGAGCACGCATGTTTGCATGCACTTTTGACGTTGCTGTTTGCAGTTTGGCTAATGAACTGCAGCCAGCAGAAGCGGCACTGGCACGTATCTTGGCTGGTGACATGCTAGCTTGACTCTCTGGATTAACTGCAAGTGATTTGCAGATTGCTGGTCTAAACAGAGCACCTGAACAGACATTAAATTGCCTCGTGGCACTTTCACAGCCTTTCTCTAACATTAGTGAGAGATGCCTGTGAAACCAAAAGTGTGTTTGTGGCACCACATGTTCCTGTATTTAGCAGTGATGGCTAATTTTTTTTGTAAATTGAATAAATCATGTTAAAAAAAGTTAATGAGGCATTTAATTAATTAACAATGTAGAGTTTTATGGTCTTTATGGTTACATTTTGTGGTTAATGACATTCTTCTTATAGCCTCTTAACACAGAATTGCCCGACAAAATCAGCCTTTTCGTCCAGTAGTAGGTATTCTGCCCTAGGACGAGCTTTTTCTTTTCACAAAAATGGATGAAAGGTGTTCCTTTATTTTGATTTGCAGAATCTATTTTAGATGGTAACTGAACGCTAAAAGTGGAGCTGAATAGGGCAGCCGCTTCTGCCACCTATATCCATCTGCGCCTATATCCATCTGCTGATTTGCCTGGTGGGGTGGTTTGGTATTGAAGGAAAATTCCTACCTCCAGGGTATAGTTTCACACAGCCCTTTCTTATGGGATAGAGCGATTGCAGGATAAAGAGCGTCTTTTCTGGATGATTTTTGGCCTTTGGGCTGATTAGCAGGAACGTATAGAGCCCCTGTTTTGCAAGAGGTGGGACTGTGGGGATCCCAGGTTAAACCGGTGGGTGGTGGACCGCTCCGTCCCGGTCGTAGGTGAGGAGGATGCTCTGGTGCCTGGGACGGGCAGCTCATTAGTTCCCCGCTTTAGCCTGGTTAGTGAGGGCCTGCTAAAAGAGCAGCTTCATGCTGTATCCTGGATACCGCTCTCGGGTCAGGTATACCCAGAGCACAGATTATTGTGGGCTTTCCAGTAGATTTTGAAACGCGAAGAATAAATGCGTCGCACCCGGCAGTTGTTTTATTCTCTTGCTTTGGCAAAGCAAACACTCACCGCCTCCACGCCGTATCCTGCTTTTCCGAGGGTGTTGCTCAGCCTTCGAGAGGAGCAAATGCAAAATTAATGGCTTGCCACTAATCTGGGAATGCGGGGGCTGTTATATACATGCAGCATCACTTAGAAATGCGGATTGTTTTTGTTTTTGTTTTTTTTCTTTTGCATCTGAGACGAATTGAGGAAGGCTCGCACCATCCTAAATTTTGGGTTGAGTGATGGAGCAGTCATTGTTTCAAGGCTTCACAACAGCGTAGAGCTGAGTCTGGGCTAGGCTCTCGACCGTGGTATATTTGACTGCAAGATGAATTGTGTTAAATTCACATGGCTTCCCACGGTGCCGGGCTCGTTATTGGAACCTGGCGCCTGGCTTTCGTTCTGCATGCAGAAAACCAGGGTGGGTGAAAATGGGATTTCCCCGATCTTGATAGAGCTGGGCTTTTTTTTTTTTTTTTTCCCTGATAGCAAACCATCCTTTGTGTGTCTTAAATGTGTTTTGTTTCAGGTCACGCGCTTTTTCTTTTTAAAATCAAACTGACGTTGGCTGTGCTGCTGTTGTGCTTGCAGAATTTTCTGCTAAAAAATGCAGATGTAAGAGTAAAAACGTTCCTGCTAGCTTTACGCATGGAAGTTTTGAGAAGTGGAAAGCTGTGGGTTTTGTCTGCGAAATTTGCACGTTGCCCCTCTGCAGCAATTCCTGACGTTGGGGGCTGTGGCAAGGTCCCTGCGGGGTGCAGAGGTCTTGGTGCTGCTTTGCCCAAGCTAGTCTGCTCATGGGAAGTCGTGGTCTCTGCTGTGTCTCCTGAATAAATTGATTTTCAGCAGCTCCCTCTGTTCTTTTCCTCTTGACTGATCTGTCTCAAAGAGGCATGGTGTAGGGGGTTTGTGTTTTGCCCTTTTTCCCCTCCTTTTCCTTCAAGAAGAGAAGCACGGGTATCCCTGCAGCAAGAAATAACTCAATTTATCTGTGTTTCCCTCCCATTTCCAGGAAGTGGTTCTGTATTGTCTGGAAAACAAGGTGTGTGATGTGAATCATCGTGACAACGCGGGTTACTGTGCCCTGCACGAGGCCTGTGCCAGAGGCTGGCTGAGCATCGTGCGGCATCTCCTCGAGTATGGGGCAGACGTCAACTGCAGCGCTCAGGATGGAACCAGGTTAGCAGCACCCCCAGCCCAGCATCGGGTCCTCGGTGGTTTCTTTGGCCACGGTGGTGGGAGGAAGCGCCTCTTCCCTCTCTCCTTATGCCTCTCCTTTATCCTCCCCATCCTGCATGAAACGGTGCCAGGATCCTCCTGCATGCTGCCCTCCTCATTGCTGGTCCTTGGGCAGGGGCATGTAGGACTCGGGGTAATAAAGCAGTGGGGGCACACTTTTGTTGCAACTCAAATTCAGTGTAAGTTTGTTTTGTCTTTTTTCCTTCTGGGAATTTCAATAAATTGTGCTTTATGGTTTTTTGGTTTTTTTTAGAGAGTTTGTGAAACTCACAGCTGCAGGGCAGGAAGGAGTGATACTTGAGCTTCAGCCCTGCTCGTAGAAGCTCCGGGTCCTTAGAGTTGAGCCAAAAGAGTGGGCTTTGTCTTGTTGAGCGGGGTGACTTTTAAGAGCACTTCAGGCTTTTGCAGCGATTGGGTGTGCGAGTCTTATATATGCTATATAAGAATGTTGTTTGCTGAACTGTTAAACTCTTATCTACTCGTTTGGTACTTTGGATTTTTATTTTTTTTTTTTTAATCCTGAATTAGTTTAGTTTCCTTCACAGAACAATCAGGGTGCTTAGTTCCTGTGCTCCCAGTATAGATAATAAGCTTTTTTTTTTTTTTTTCTTTGTGGATACAGAAATGCTACTCCACACCTTTTTTAAGCTTCTTGTGCATCTACTCAGCTATCTCTTTAACACCTCTGCGGGGCTGACCTTGGGGTAACTTTTCCTCAGCATATGCAGAACGTTATCCAGTCTATACATTTAGGTTCAGGTCGCTTTGTATTCTGTGAAGCTTCTGCAGCCTGTTATCTTTAGTGGCTTATCACATTCACTATCACCGTCCAAATAGCCAAGGAGGTAAAATTAGCATAACTAAGAGTCTGCCTCTTTTGTTTTTAAGCTCTCTATTTATTAACTTGGGACGGGAGGAGTCAGGAAAACAAAAGTCCCAAGATGGCTGGTTAGGATGGTCCATTAGAAGTTCTTGATGGTCAGTCATTACCGGCCCATCACGGCCAAAAGGAAACATTTCTGAAGAAATGTTGAAACTCTGGATGGATTGTCAGGTTCCTTCTCCATCTCCTACTTCTTCGTGAGAAGTCTCAGCTCTCTAGGCTGACAAACAGCCCTGCATTTTCTGTTGTCTCCAGCTTTAATATGTGACCTGTGCAACAGCGGCGAATTCCCATAAAAAGAATCCTAAATTATTTTTGTCTTACTTGCTGGAATAACCTATTAAGAAAATTAACCCCAGGAAGTTTCGACCAGTGTTAGTCATCCACCAGTTGAGAATTCACCTTTGATTTCGATTCACAGATGGAGCTGATTTTCAAGAAAGAAACTTGGCTTGTGTACAAGTTGTTTTGGGGAAAATGCATTTTAGAAATGAACATCATAATGATCCGATCATAGACGGTAATGTCAGAACTCAGCTTGCGATCCCCTTTCTTTTCTGATGGCAGACTTATTTTTTGTTTGAAAAGCTGCCCAACAGTCAGCGTGAATCCAAAACGCATCTAATATACAGATGAAAGATGGTCTAGCTGCCCTGAGTTGGGCAGGACAGAGAGTCAAAGCTTCTGTAAGGAACTTCTGAGCAGTGCTATCCCCTGCCTTTTGTCAGGGCCAGACTTCTCTGTCTCTGTAGAGTAAATAATGACATTCATAAGACAAATCCCATTTCTCCCCTTGAAGCCTCAGTAAGTTTTTCTCCTTTAACTCTTCAGAGGAAAGAAGTGTCAGTCTTCCTCAACTGTGTTGCTTTTAATATTAAAATTCCTGAACAACTTCACCCCTTGGAAAGATATCAAAATCTTAGAACCAAAAAGCCCCAAACACACACACCATCAAAGATTTCTCCCCCTCTCTTGCTTTTTTATCTACAGTGAATATGCCTTATTGCCCCCTCTGCCACCTCACAAGCTCACTAGACAAAGATTTTTTTTGGCTGTCCTGGAAGCTCTCAAGTCTCCAGAAAGGAAGGGTGCATGTGTTTAGTTCTGTTCAGCCAGTTGACATAAATCCCCATAGAGGAGTGATGTAACTGCATGAGCTGTGATGTAACTGCGTACGCTGCATTTGTTAGTGTGGCAGCCTGCGGTGTCACTTGGATCCCGGGTTGCCTGAAGCTTCGGTCTGCATTACTTATTGCCTGCTGCCTCTGTGGTCAGCTCTTTGGGGGACACTCTCTGAAAAGTTGTGACAAGCGAGGAAATGGCTCCAGCCTGAACAAAATATCCATGTGAATGAGAAGGATATGGAAGAGTTCTGCAAAGTCCGTGCATCTCTCCTTTCAGTGCTGTCTGAAGTGCTGCAGGTCCTCTGATCAAAGTGGTGGTTTTGCATGTGTGTGTTTTAAGTTTTGAAAATGAAGCAAAGGCCGGAGCCTTTTGCTTTAGTGTTGCCTTTTGTGTACCTACACAGCCAACAGCCAGTCTGAGTTCAGTAGATAAAGTTGGCTTTTAGCCTCTGGTTCCTGATACTATGGTGAAGCCGAAAAACAAAGGAAGCGCCAGCCTGTAGTGGCATGTCAAGGAGGTGTAGATGTGGCTCAGTCCTTCCCTTCACCCTCAGCTCAGCACTGGGGCTCTGCCTGCACACCCACTGCTGCCTGCAGCGCACCATGTCCCTATCTCTGCCCTATTCACAGCACATCTGGCTGGGCTAAATACAGCAGGTGGTCTTCTCTGTTTTCCCCCTTAAACTCTATGCTGATAACGCCGATCGTGACGGCTTTATGCTGATCCGTGGCTTTCCAAATGCGGCGCCTGCAGACCCTGAATACACAAGCACTCTGCTGCTGAATTAGTGGCTAATCAAAGATTATTGTAGAACTGGGTGAGATCTTTAAGACCTGTCTCAGAAGCACCACAGTCACTAAGGGCTCTTAATCGTCTTACCTATAAATAATAGTAGACCGTGCTTAAGAGGTGAGCCCTTCCCTTCCCTGACAGGACGCCAGTAAGAGCTCAACAAGGGGTGTTCCAATGACCAGTGCATGCCATTAGCAAGGATGGTTGCTTGTATTTGGCCTTACCTCTTTGTTCTTCTCCTCTTACCTCCACCATGCCCTAGCCAGACCGGCACAGCTTTCAAAACAAAGCTGCATGCCAAAAATACAGGCATCTCCTGCCCGTTAGCGAGGCCTCTCCCGTTGCTTTAGAGTTTGCTTGCTAGATTCGCTCTCCGCAGACAGTTTTACTTTGTCCTTCTCGCTGGTGACTGATGAGCTCAGCCTTTTCTTATTTTTTCCCTGGGAGGACCGTGCCAAGATGGCTCTCTTCCTGCATCCTTTCAGCTGGTCTTGGCAGAGGGATACCCTCCAGCAGCTAATTGTGTTAAAGAGGAGGCAGCCGGCATAGCTGCCCTCCTGCAACTTGTGCCTTGCCTGTTCCATGGGGCAGCGTTGCATAATGGAGTAGATGGAAGTAAAAATAAAACACCAAGAAATGGTATTGCTTGGTGAGTTACGAGACCTCTTATTGCAGTGAGGAAAAGTCTGATGGTGCCTGAAAGGCTGAGAGCAAACCCTGACTGGTCTAAATAGTTTATAATTTTGGTGGTGGAATGATAAACCCCCAGTGAAATGTTTTCCTAACTCCAGTAGCAGTAAAAATAGTAGGAAGAATTCGACAGTACGCAAGAGAGGGTTGAGATGTGTGTCTCCTGTAGGATATTGCAGCTCTTGAATGTCCCCAGATCCTTCTGGGGCCTTTCAAAGGGTTTGTTTTAGAAACGAGCTGTACTACTGTTAACTGAACCATTAGGGATAAAGAGTGTTTATTTCCACGATGCTCAGGGTGGAAAAGATTATATGGGCAAAGCAGCCCAGGAGAGGACTCCCAGGGATCTTTTTTTCACATCTGAAAAAGTTGCCGATGCCAGTAGTCGCTTTGCATCCTACAAAGAGGATGGTTCAGCTCTGCCAAAACTGAAAAATACTCCCTCCTCTGCTGGTCCTGGTGGGAGAAGCAAACATGAGTAGCTGTGCCTTCGCATGGTCCTGCTCGTGAGCTTGCCAAGAAGCTGTGCTACCCAGTAAAAGAGTCTGTCAGCGCTCTGTTATTGCCTCTTCCCCCCTGCCTTATCTATGGGGAATCTCCTTTTTATTTCCTCTCCCTGCCAATGTTTTCTTTCCTTGCTTCACTTCCTTCTGTTTATTGTTTTTCCTCCTTCCACGTGGCTTTACTGCACCTTTCCTTCCTCTTGCCTCTATAAAGTCCCATCTCGTGACCGGGGCAGCCTCCTTGTGCTCCGACAGGTGACAAAGATGGGTCTGCGTGCCCTGCTGCCTGCCCCACTGCCTCTCCCCCTGTCTGCACTGCTGTGCCAGGCTGGGTGACCTGTAGAAAGGGAGAGGGGATCGCATCTCGGGGTTATAGGCCATGCACTGCAATTTTTCCTTCCTGGGGAATGCCCAGGTGTCCTTTAATAAATTCATCTGGGTGTCATTAAATCAATTGAAACACTGGGCGATGATTTAGATGCTGTTTTTGATAAGTTAAGGGATCATCTTGAATTCATTACTGCTTCAAAACACACTTAGGTCAATCAGTTAAAAAAAAAAAACCAAGAAAACTTGCAA